TTATTGTTAGTATTTACATTTATTAATTAAATGTAATTGCATATACATATATATAATTTTAATTAATATAAAAATGAGCTAATTATTCTTTACTTATGAAATACATAAGAATTTTTGCTATACATATATTTTATTTTAATGAATTTCGCACCGTATTTTATACAACATAAAAACTGTAAGATATATATAAATATATATATATATATATATACCACATATATGTATATACATATAAATATATGCAAGTATATCTGTAAATATAGATCTGTATATATACATATGCATATCTACGTATATTTATATATGCAATATATATGAATATCTATACACACGTACATACATATATATATATATATATATATATATATACATATGTATTTATATTAAATTAGCTGCACTTAATTTAATTTTTACCTAAAACAAAATGAATTTATAAAATGAAAAAAAAAAACAAAATCAAAATTATTATACTGTATACTTAAAACTTAATTTTATATAAAACTAAAACATATACAATTATATTGAGCATATAACACATTTAAATATACTATACCTAATTATATTAGCATAATACATTATTATATTAACAGTATTTCACTATTGTTATACAAAATGATATTTGGTTATTATTATAAAAATTTATAAAAAAATTTGTAACATTGCTGGTTTTTTCCCAATAATATGAATTATGTATATATATATGGATATGTATATAGATATATATATATATACATATATATAGATATATATGTATATAGATATATATATATAAATATATATATACATTGTATACATATATATATATACATTGAATACATATATATATATATACATTGTATATATTTATATATATACATATGTACAAATTAAAATTTTAAATATATATATATTGTATATATTCATATATACATATACATATATATTTACAATTTTATATATATATATATATGTATATATGTATACATATTCAAAGTTTATAATATTTAATATTTAACGAAATCTTTTTATTTTTTAATTATTTTAGATTTCATTAAGATTAATTATTAATATAAATAAGGCGTTATATTTGAATTATTAAATTTAAATATTTAAATTAAATTTGTTACAATAAAAATTTTTTTGAAAATTAATATTATTATTGTAGGGAAGAAAAACTCTTATATATATATATATGTATATATAAACAAAAATCGTTTATGTTATAATTATAATATTGAAAATACTTACAATTTTTACTGTTTCAGACCAGAATATTTTGTATATTTGTTAAAATTTTAATACTAGATATAATACAGTGTAAACTTATAACAGCATAAATATATATATATATTTATTTCTTTTGTTAAAACAGTTTTAAAAGTCTGAAATATAAAACACATTCATCAACAATTTTATTAAAAATTCTTGTTAAAATTTTGCAATAAAATTAAATTTTCAAATATAATTCGATATTTTTTTTAATTTATTATTAAATATATCGAATAAAATTCTTGTTTCCTAAATGTGAGCAGCCAAAAAACACAGTGATAAATAATTAATATTTGTAATAGCCTTGACCCATTAACAAAATATTATATGAAAAAAACAAAAACACATCGATTTTCTTTAAAAAATTTACTAATTTTCTCTTCTTTTTTTTTTATAAAAAAATATATATTGGCAATTATTTCTTTACTTTAAAAAAAAGAGACCAAAAAAAAAAGCACAAAAAATTTTTATAATAAAATAATTTTGGGAAAAAAGAAAAAATTATTTTCTGACATTATCAAATGTAAATCAAAATTATTATACAATAAATTTTATTTAAAAAGTATTAGCCATCGTATGATATCAATAACCAGAATAATTAAAATTACGAAAATCATTAAAAATATTAATGATATGTGCGCGACCACCTCTTTTAAAATTTTGTTAAGAAAAAACACATTAATTATTAAAAATTTTCGGCAATCGTCAAATAAATATTCTATACTGCAGAAATGTTGTATTTTTTAAATATTGTGACATTTTAAAATCATACATTTTAATTTATAATATAACAATTTTCAATAAATATTTATGATATATTATATAACAGATAATAAAATATTATTCATTCTCCTGCAAAAAAAAATAAATTCTTTTTGAATTTCATACTGAAAAAAAAATTTTGTTCATAAAACAATTTCCTACTTTTATAAAGGTAGCTACGTGATTATAATCAAATACAGCCTTCTTAACTTTATTATCTGCTAAAGATAAACTATAGTATAACAAAATAAAAGCACATCACATATATAACATTTCAACAACAATATTTCTTTACTACATATATTATTCAAAGAATACAAATTCAAATAATAATTCAAAACTGCCTTATATATCAATTTAAAAAATATTTATTTTTCTTTTGAATTTTTTTTTTTAAAATAATAAATTTTATTCAAAACATAAAATTATAATAGATATTCTTTTAATTTTATTAATGAATAAATTATATAAATAATAAAAATCTCAGGAAAAAATATTAATATAATTTTGAAATTATAATAAATTGCATTATTTATTTTCAATTTAATTCAATCGAACTAAAATATTTTATATACAATATATTTATTTTTAAACAAATTACATTTTATTTTATACCATTTATAAATTTATAAATTTACTTTTCATTATTAATGTAAATCTTTGAAAATGAAAGTATTTTCTTGAATAGTTTTAAAATGAAATAAAAAAAAAAAATGTTGTCATTAAATTTTCGATAACGAACAATATTCGAAAGCACACAAATAGAAAACAAAAAAAACAAAATATTAAAAGAAATTTGTTAAATTGGGTAAAAGTATAACTGAGTTTAAAAATTATATAAACTAATAAATAAAAAAAAAAAAAAAACAAAAGTTGATAAGCTAAAATAATTATGAAACAATTAAAAATATACTAAAAGTAAATACAGATTATAATATAATTATAATATTAAAAAAAAACAAAATAAATAATGTATACTTGTACCTTTAGTTATGTATTTTTATAGTTATTATTTAATTATTATATAAAAACAAAAAAAAAAATATGTTGTAGCTTGTACTATAGACAAAACAAAAAAAAAAACTGAAAAAGATAATTATAATAAAAACGTAAACATTTCGCAAGCATATTTAAATTTAAAACATTCTGTTGTTTTATTTATATTTTATTCGAATTTATAATTCAGAATTACTGAAAAACGCCATACTTATATCGGGACTGTTAATTTGAGAGGTACCGATGGGTCTTCTTGTTCGCCCAGTGCATGGGTTTCGCGAGGATATAACGGTCGCCCTCTCTTGCTATTCCTATACTACAACTATATATTAGGGCTAATTTGGCAAAATGGCAAAAAATAGTTTTACAAAATGTGTGTAGACATTTGGGAAAATTCCAATGTAATACGTATCTTACAATGAATAAAACAACATGGTAAAGTCATACTTGCTCATCGAAAACACTTCAATCTTCAAAAATTGTAGAAATTGATAAAAGTAAAGTATGTAGACTGTATTGAGGATATATATGAGCATGCTAGATAGCAATAAGTGAAGAGTATCCGAAGTCTGTACGATGAAAATTTTTGCAAGACTAAAATTGTTAAAGGTTTAAGTTTTTTTAAGTTTATTTTTGAAAACAGTTTAAGAAAAATAATTTATAGTTTTCAGATTTGAAAAACTTTGCACATTAAATTTTCTGATATTGATATTTATGATATTTGCATCGAGCCCATAAGGATAGGCAATAATTTAAGACGCCAAAAATTTTTTTTTGTTGTTATAATATTTATTAGCTGATGTTTGGCATTGAGCTTATATGTCATTTCATTTTGAACTTTGAATTTCAATTAATTTTACATGAGGTACATGTAGTTTGCGGGCCGAATACAGTGAATTCAACCAAGAAATATAATAATTAATAAATTTTTAAAAGTATTTAGGAATCATTATATCTCATTTCGAATTAATTTCAAAATTTAGTTGTATAAGATCATAATCAAAGTATTTTGAATGGTTATATATAAAAACTATTGTTTTTAATAATGATTTAGTAGGAAATAAATTTCAAATTTGTTCAAGTCAGTATTTAAAGAGATCCTTTTATAGAATGGAAAATTAATGAATCGTTTAGCATTAAGCATATCTTCTAATAAAACGTTTAATTGAGTTAAAATTTAACAGACAATCATCTTTTCAATTAAATCTAATTAAGTACTTATTATCTGAGAATTAATATATGTAATTGATTTCTGTCCATAAATTTTATTTATACATACAAATATATAATGTATACAGTCACATTTTTAATTTTTTTTTTTCTTACATACTATTAAAAAAACTTCATAATTATTTAGAAACCACTCTTTTTTATTCTTGATAAACGGTAATTCTTATTATTGGTAAAAGAGTAATTTACTCTTTCAATATTAGAAAGAGAGAGTATGCGAACATTAAAAGAACATCTGTAGGAAATCTGTCAGAATTCCAACTACCTTTTTACAAGTACAAATAAATTTTAATTTATTTTCGGAAATTTAAAAATTCTAAATTTAAGGTAATACAAATTATAATAATATCATTTGTATGTACATATATTGAGTTAATTTCATAGTTTTGTAAATTAAATTCATACTCATTAAAGTTTGAAAAGGAATCCGGTCCAGATTTCCATTATTTAATTAATATAAAATTTTTATTAATAAGACAATTTTAAAAATTAGAATCAGAAAACTTCTACTTATAGTAGATATAAACATTATTTGATAATATAAAATCACTATATTATTGAAATGCAGGAAGTAAAATCTGGAATCTACTTGGAAAATTCAGAATTGTAGTTTGTAGTAACTATTTATTGTAGGTTCTATGTACATATGTACATATATACATTTACTTATGTGCGGTTATGGTTTAAAAAATGAGGAAACAAACGGCTTAACCAAATAAATTGCAAAAACTGCGAATTCCTTTTGCTGACATCAAAATAATTTTTAAAATATTTAACATTCAAAATAACTTATGATCACCTAGAAAAATTTGAAATATATGAACTATTTTGTAGGGTTTTCAAGAAAATATTAAGAAATTCAAAAAATATTGTATCCAGAATTAAATATCAGCTGCATCTAAGATGTCACGTAGGAATATTAAAGTTCAAGCCGCAAACCTTATAAAAGACGCTCTACCTGATTTTGAATTTTTAAACACTGAATTGGATAATACTAGTAATTTAGGTAATATTTTTTGTATGTAATTCTAGTATTTTAATTATAATTTATTTTTAAACACAGATCAATTTCAAACTCTAAGCAATGATACAAAAATTCTTAAAGGTAAATGTTATAGAAATTTATCATAAATAATTCACTAAAATGATTTTATATGGAAATTCACAGAAATTTTGGAAATAGTAAAGGAATTAAAGGAAGAAAATGAACAAATAAATCAATTCAATAAAAATTTACATGAACAAAATAAAAAATTATATATACGTTTTGCACAAGAACTTGTTGGTCTCAAAAATGAAATCGCTGATCTTAAAATGTTATTACCTAATCGAGTTAATATGTCATCTAATCGACCTAAAATAGTTTCCAAAAAACTACCACAATTTCCTCTAACAACACTCGAAAAAATTTTAGACTTCGAAAAAAGTTTAAAAAAGGACAAGGAAATGCAAATTGAACTTGTAATAGAAAATGCATTAATACCTATTTTGTTGCATTATTGAAAAATTTATCAAACCGTGTATTTAATTATGAATATAAATGTATTTACTTTTAGATTGACAGATTTAGCAGAGCTAACAATGAGAACTTAACTCAATTTATAAAAGAAAACTTAAAAATAATTTTTGGAAATGATGAAGTAGCTTCAAAATTTTCATGGAAAAGCTCTAAAGATAATATTAGTGTTGAAAAATTTACAATTGTGGATAACCTAAGAGGTTTGTAAATAAATTATTTGTTTTTATATTTAATATGCATATTTTGAATTTAATTTATATTTATTATTAATACAATAATTTTTTAGAGGCTTGTATTACTTATGTTTATGCAGCCAAAGAAAATAGAATACACGAAGATGTAAGACATTTTTTCTCAACTATAAAAGATCGCGTCCGAAAAAGAAAATCTTCAAATAAACCACCGACAACTATAAAAACTGCAAAATTGGATCATGATTCAGATGGATCAGATAGCAATGGATTTGCCTGTTAAAAAATAATTATAAGTAGGTAAATACATACATATGTATGTATATGTATAAAAATTAGTATTAGAAATTTAGTATATTTTATGTATATGAATACTATATGAAATTTTTTTCCAATGACATTTGCACATACATATGTGTTAAATTTCAAGTAACAAACTTTTTAATAACCCACCAACCCCTTGCCAAAAAATTCCACAGTTCTCAGTATTTATGGAAATATATAGGTATCTGAATATGTATGCATGTAGACCGCAAAGTACTATTGCTTAAGTGAGCTCGTTCACTTGAAGGATTTTATTTGATCGGGAAATGAGTTAAAAATTCAGAATTACAAACGCATATCAGCATGTGCATATATATACCTTTGTTATAGATTATAAAATGAAAGAAGTAATAAACTATGTATGATTTCAAAATTTATTTTCACTTTATATTTCTTTTCTTTGTAATTATAAATAAAATAACAATAGTTGGAGTTCTTAAATATAAGCGCATTAAAATTATAGTATAATTCTTTATCTTTTATTTATAATTTATTACAATTATTTTTTTTATTACTTACACTCAAATATGAATTATTAAAGTAAACTGCATGAGTTTAAATGATACTAAATTTTTTACATTTTAATTCATAAGCATTTTAAATCTAATAAGAGCCAATCGAAAATGCAATTATGTGGGACTAATTCACTCAATTAAGATTTTAAAATTTGTAATACAATACATGTTAAATATATCAAGAACATATAAAATTTTTTCAATTTAATTGCTTATTTCATTGGCGTACCTAAATTACTTGAAGAAAATTACTTTGGTACGAATAAAATAATATACAAGAATTTTAGTAAAATTTATTCAAATTAAAAAAAATTATAATTATTATTCTTTCTTCCTATAATTATTATATTAATTTATTAATTATCATAGTAGTAAAGAGCATACAGTGAAAACTTGAAGAATATTTTATTAATAAAATAAAAAAAATTATAAACGTTGTTTTACAAACGCTACTGTAATAATGTTGTAATATAATTTGACTGAGAAGCATGAAAAAAATACTTAATAATAAATATAATTTTTTTAAACCCTTCAGTTAATCTATTTCATTTATAAAAATTGTGTCTTTGAATTTACCTTAATTACCAGTAGAACATGATCAAATAAATAGACATATATGTAAGAGCAAAAAATTACGAGTTATGTAATGTTCAAATGCTGTTAAAGCACTCGTAACAACAGTTTTTAACAAAAAAATACTATTACATTAATTTCCAAAATAATACATATAATGTAGACTTATATAGTTTGATTTGAACGAACAGTACTTTGAGTTTGATCAACTGCAAATTTAAAACTTTAATTAAATGGGAAATCATACCTGCTTCTATAAGTATTGCCTTTCTTGCCAAGTTTTCACCGTAATATTATAAAAAAAAAACTAAATTAAATTTCTATTCGCTACGTTTGATTTGTTTTACTATTATGTTTAGGTTTATGACGGTTTAATGCTGCTTCTCTTTCATTCGCATCAAAATACCAAACTGTTATAGCATAACGTGTTCTATGTGCAGGTTGAACTTCATGTGGATTACGTCTGTCCGACCAAAAAAATATTAATCTGTCGAATTTAGGTTCAATATCGGCAATTGAACTACCATTTTCTGGGAATATCCTACAAAATGGTATATAAAATGAGAAATGCAACAATAATAAGTGGTAGATTTTGTTTACCTTAAAATTCCTCCACTACGACGTATATCCCAATTTATATTTAAATAATATATAGCTGTTATTACACGGCCATCTTTATTTGGATTGTCAACATGCATAACATAATGTGCTCCTGACCCAGGATAACAAGCAACCATAGCCTACAAAATATATATTCATATTTATAAAAATTTACAATAATAGCAAATATTTTGATTTCTTACCTTTGTTCTTTCTCTTATTTTGTAGTTACCTAATTGACCATTTTCGTGCATTGTGTTAGCTCTCGAAACAACTGCATCAATCTTAAAAAGAGTATATAAAAATAATAAAATATTATTATAATATTTAGATTGATTCAAAGTGGAAAACTTAAATTGATGAATGTTTTGTCTTTTTAATGTATCTAATGTCACATATCGGTTACATTTTAATTTCTGTTTTAAGGTAATTTTTATAATACATACTCACTTGATTAATTAAATAACCAATATTAATACATCCTGATTCTGTTCCTCTAACCCATGTAATTTTATCGCCTCTAATAGTACGTTTTTCTTCTTCAGCAATTGAATTAGAAACTAATTGACCATCCTGATGTAAAATAAAAATAATAATTATTTCATTCGATTATTAAAACTTGATTCAATTGAAAGTATAAAAACTGATAAATTTACCTTAAAAACACCAGCCGCGTACATTTTATGAACTTCATTTAAAATTTGTAAACCTTTTTCAGCACCAAGAAAATCATCTACTACTGAAAGGCCATATGTATTCATATCGTTTATTATAATTCGACATAATTCCTCGTATCTTCTTTCGCTATTAATTATGTAAAAAATAAAATTTTTAAGTTTGTTATAAATTCTTATATAAAAATTAAATGTTTAAAAATATTGAAAAATTATCCGTGCCATCATTTCTAAAAATAATCTGAATGATAATACAGATATTTAAATTAAATTGATTTTAATCCACCATTTTAAAATAAATAAATATGCCATGGAATTGATTTCAAAATTTTTATCATAAGAAATATTAAAGTGTTTCCTTACAATTTGGTAAAGCATAAACAGTATCTTGTTAGTTGAAAAAAAATCCAAAAAAAATTTTTTGTAACAAAATATATGTATGTATGTATGTAATTTCAGGAAATTAAAGTAAATTCAGTAAACGAATTCAGGAATTGATAATTTAAGAACTGAAAAGTTGGTCGGTAATTTTAAAAAAAATCTAAATTAACATACATACATACATTCACTCAATTATTTGTTTATTGGTATAGCACAACAATTTCTGGTAAATAGATACATATGAATGTATATGCATAAATATTTTTTGTATATGCTCAATACAAAAATAATTGCGAGTATTTAGTCACGTATTCCATAAATGTAATGGAAAAGACGTACAAAAATTTCTCTTTAACAAATAAGAACTTCACTCTGATTTTATTAACAACGTAAATCTTTTTTGCAAATATGCAATATTTTTAATAGAAGTAGAATTATTTATTGAAAAGAAGGTAGATTCCCACATACCTACTTTAAAATAAATACTCATCAATAAGATAAGATAAAGTTGCAACGCAACTGCAATAAAACTGGGTTTGCAATTTTAAATTCTCTTCAACACTTCTCGTAAACTTAGAATTTTTAAATAATATAATTTTTTTATGAAAAAAGAAAAGAAAAACAAAATAAAAAAATATTATTAGTAATATGAATCAGAAATTTTCCAAAAATGAAAATTACCCGATTTAAAACCAATAGAACAGCGTAATTATAATGAGCAAACAAAACAAAAAATCACAAAACAATACTATACACTTGGTTCTTACTTACAAACATTGTACAATATAAAAAATTAAAAATAAATTTCATTGAGTAAACAAAAAAAAAAAAAAAAACAAAAAAAATAATATACACAAACACAATATAGATACATTTATGTAAATACCTTGTGCTATTCAATTCCAAAGATAAGTATTTTTCATCTCTTATATTAAGAACACTTTCACTAGAATTTTTTGAACTAATTTCGGGGACAATTTTATCAGAACCGCTAGATAATTTATCCCCATCCGTAGCTTTGAAGGACACTTGATGGGATTGTTGTGTAGAAAAATGTGGAGGCTTAATTTGATTTTCTTTTTTCTGTTTTGTTATTTGACGACATAAGTGCTTGTGATTTTGCCAATCTAAAATCAATTTAAAAAATCAATTCTGATTATTTCTTAAAATAAAAATTAAGCAATAAAATTCACATACCTAAATGCTGGTGATCTGTTGAGCAATAATAAATTTGTTTGCATTTTCCGCAACGAAGCAGTGATTGAGTTGTTTTGCATACATTGCAAAACGGAATTTCCATTCTAATTAAATTATTGAATTTTTTTTATTTTCCAGGTTTACTGCAATACTATATTATAAGTTATTGTAATTTTTATGAAACCTTTACTTTTTATTATTTTTTTTTTATTTTTTTACAAATTAAGTGAAGTTTTTAGTATTTGTTTTCAAATCATATAAGAAAATTTTTCACCTTGACAAGAAGTGCCATTAAAGTAGTGCATTCCTCACGTCTCCATTCAAGACTACATCGCTACAATGTAGTAAGCAACATAAAATTCAGTTATACGAACCGCAAAGTTTTTATCTATAAAACGGTAATATTTCTCCTTATTATGCTAAGGTCACAATAACTTTTCGAAATTACATAATCGGTACAATTATACGCTTATTAATAAAAATAGACGGATTTTTTTTTTGAGTTAATTGAATTTGTAAAATAAGAATCCTGCAAGAATTAACTTAAATAAAGAATTTTTACATTTCATATTTGCGTTAATTTTGACATATTTGCGCTTTCTTTAACAAAGGAAATAAGAGAGTAATGAAGAACATCTGTGTTATAATGTGTGATCTAATGGATTTATATAGGTAAAATGAATATTTGTGAACCTAAAAAAGTGTGCTTTATCCGAAACAGGTTTCCTTTTTTCACGTTTTTATTATACGTTAAATTGCTTTTATGTACCTCTTATTTCAAAACGTTATTGGAAGTTTACACGATACTCAAATTACCACGCAACTATTAAAATATGATTCACGTTTGTATAAAACCTCAAAAACAAAAAAAATTAATTACATAATTAGTTCTAATGTCGCACACTTAAAATACTTTGGAGATATGTACACATAGGAAATGTATTTGGGAATCTGAAAAAATATGTATCTCCTATTCATTAAAAAATTGGCACATACAAATGTATATATGTATTTTTATTTATATATGGATTTGTATATATGTATGCATATATATATAACGTATATATCTAAAGAGTTATTCTTTTACTTCCATCTTATAAAGATTTTATGTTTGTAAAAAATTAAACTTTTATATAGCATTTAGTAACGTATAACAATTATGTTGGGATATCCGTAAATTTAATGACAAATTTGCCATAGTCGATCTTAATTTTATATTAAATTTTATAATGACTATGTCAAGTGCATTTGACATATACAAAAATATGTTTGTTTCATCTACCTTACAACTGCCAAATTTTTAAAATTTGACATAAAATGGCAATGTATTTGGCTAATCTAGCACAATTTACTTTACCAAAAGTCCCAACACTAAATGTAGATTGAAATTGATTTGTCAGCCATCATTTAAAATGAAAAATATATCAGCTGATTGAAAGCAACACGCGGCTCAACTTAATTCTCATAAACAAAATATTTTTTTGTTGATACTTGATAGTCTCTAGCATTTTATTTTTTTTAAGTTTTCTAATACAATGAGTATATTATTTCCCAGATGTTTTAAGGTATTTTTACAATATTTTTACTAGTGTCTTAGTTTTAATTTAATATAAAATAAATATTTCTAGGTTTTACAACCCAAATCGCTTGTATCACGGCTTTACTGTAGCTCTGGCCCAAAAATTGAAAAAAGTAAGTATTTAAATTTAAAAATTTACTTCATAAATTTTCTAATAAAACAATAACTGTTCTTAAATTACCTTTTAGCTATAAATTCAATAACATTACTTGGTAGGATTGGTGCAGATCCTCAAAAGCGTGGTACTGACCAGCACCCAGTTGTGACATTTTCATTAGCAACCCATAATAACTATAAATATGAAAGCGGTGATTGGGCACAAAGAACTGATTGGCATAGAATTGTAGTATTTAAACCTAGTCTTCGTGATACAGTTATGGATTTTATGAAAAAAGGACAACGTGCTTTAGTTCAAGGGAAAATCACATATGGAGAAATAACAGATACGGAGGGAAATCAACGCACAAGTACAAGTATAATTGCAGATGATATCGTATTCTTTAGAGAAAATAAAGAATAAATTTCCAAAATAATCACAAAGGAAATAATCATCTTCATGCTTTTTACATTATCTCATTCATTTTATTATTTTGCTAAGAAAAGGAATTTCATTATGTTGTTAAATAAGATTAAGAAGTCGAATAAATAGAAAGTTTTTATTTTAATAAAATAAAGGTAATTTTATAATAAATTTTATTTAATTAAATGCGAAACTATCATATAATTGTTATTATGATATAGTTTTTTTTTTAGTAGACATAATTAAATGTAAAAGGGCTTACTAATGAAAATGGTATTGTTTGGCTATATTGAACTTCAATCAGAATACTACATACTTTTTGAAAATTGTTTGTGTAGTATATTGGTGACTGTTGTATTAATATTTTACACTGTCTGAAGTATTTTATGAAGAAGTATATAAGATGTGAATGATATGATTAGTCTTGGAACGACATATGCTTCCCAATGGAATATTTAAAAATGAAATCATTTCTAACACTTCAATTGGTCTGCCATAATTTTTACTAAAATTATATAAGGTTTTGTCTAACAATAATAAGACCCAATTTTTTTTTAAATATTATAATTTTTAGAGCAAAATCAACTTAGAATTTTAAAATTCTGTATTGAAAATTTATGTATGTATGTTGTTTTGAATTAACATTCTATCAGGGCTAGTTCCATGTCTAACAAAACATATGGAATCATTTTTTTTAGGGTAAAAGGAAAATAGTAATGAAAGCAAATGTAGGTCTAAGATAATTATTTAATGGAAGCTAGAATTAAGAAAGACAAACAATTTTTATTTATTATTCAACATTATTTTTTATTGTTTTTTTTTAAATATTTTTTGTTTTGTACCTAACTTATTTTCTTTCATGTTTATTTTTTTTTCTCTTATTTTATTTTTAAATATATTTTTTAAACATTTTTTAATTTTTTCCTCTGTTTTTTTTTTCTTGAATTTTATTAATTTTTTGAGTATTCGGTAACTGATTGTACATTCTTATTCAAAAAATTTTAACAAAAGTTTAAAAAAAAAAAAAAACCATAAAACAAAACTAATTTTCATTTTAAATACATTTTACGTTGGAGGGAAAAGTTTTAAATACTGAATATTTAATTAATTAATATTTTTATAAAACGAAATTAAAAAAAAAAAAAAAAACTAAATTTCCCAATATATTTTCGCCAATTTAATTTACTTAAAAATAATTATTTTATTATGAAAAAATATAATTTTAACTATTGTTTTTGTTTATTTTTTTCGGTTGAAATTACATAGATGTTACTATTTATTATTAAAATTAAATTAATATTAAAATTTATTAAATTTTATTTTCACAATATGAAAAATAAATCTGGCATTTTTTGATTGATTTTCATTTAATTATATACTCTTTGACAATATTTTAAGGGACTAGATAATAGTTTGAAAAAATGACAAATTAAAAGAAGTTTTAATTTATATACTTCGAATTGTTATGAATTTAGAAATATTATTATTATTTTTTTATATTATTATTTTTACATAAACATATTTTTAATTTGAAAAAAAAAAAATTTATTTTTTATATTTTAATTCACTTCAATTTATTTCATCTGATATTTACAATTTTTCCCATTTTATATGTATATTCCTCCCACAAGTACATATTTTAAAATTATTCATATAAAAAATTAATTATAAATTAAGTAAAAAGCAAGTTTATATAAGTATTTCTAAAAATTCTAGATATTGAAAATGTATTTTATATATGATAAAATCAATTCTGTTTTATGTTTGAAATTGCCGACTATGTAAATTATTAAAGAATATTTTGAAATTTTGAATGAAAATTTAAAGATTTGAAATAGCTTTTAGATAAAAAAGAAAACAAAATTCAAATAATTTTATTTATTTAAATTTTATTCTTTAATATTATCAGTATTTAAATGTCAACAACATGAACTGTTTTTGTAACAGTTTTTAAGGGTATATGTAATCCTTGACGGCAATTTAAATAGGGTGCTTTGAAAACAGTGAATTAATTTGATTTAATAGTAAATTTAATTAATCCTGATTGTATTAATTGATTTACGTTTTCCGTACAAAAAATAGAAAATAATTTTTTTCATTTTACTAAATTAATTTTTATATTGAAAATAATTAATAAAAAAATTGTATTTAAGAAAAAAAAAAATAAAATTAAAAAATTGCCCGGCGCTCTACATAAATAATTCATATATTGCTTAACAAAAGTCATGAAAAACTTAAAATAAGTGGCATAAAACAAAATATTTATCAATTTTTAAGAATTTTTCTCAGATTATTTTATTAAGGTTTTTGTTTTTTTATTATGAGTTTTTAATTTTATAATTTAACAATTTTTTTTGTTTTTTTTTTTGTGTTTTTTTTTATAAAGAAAAAAATTTACAGTAAAATTAATTTTTTCGTCACTATTTTTTTTTTATCATACTTATATATATATATATATATATATATAGTTTCTCCTATATACTCTATTAACAACTCGTCGTATATAAAGTAAAATAATGAAACTAAAAATAAAGCAAAGAATTTAAAAAATATTTGTAATAAAAAAATTTTATAAATTTTTTGATTTTCACTTTACTGACAATTCACAATAGCTATAAATTGATTTTTTTTTTTTAATTTTTTTTATTTTTTTATTTTTTTTTCTAGTTTTTAAGAAATATAAATATTTTAAAATGAAAAAAAAAATAATAATAATAATAAAATAATTATTTTCTGTTTTATATAAAATTATATTTATAATTTACATTAATATAAATTGAATAAGATTATCTATTTACAATTAAACATAAATACCACAGTTGAGTAAAGGACCAAACCCAAAGGATAATTTTTTTATTTTAATCTGCTATTATTTTTGTTTTATTTTTAAATATTTAAAACAGTTAAAAATTTTGGTTATATTTTATATTTCAAATATTTTTTTATTAAAAAAAAAAAAAAATTATCCTTAAGGATTCCACAATACAGTTTTGTCTGTATATATAAATAGTATGTAATAATTTTTTTTTTGTTTCATATTTTATTTTACTTTTTATTCATTATTTGTTCTCAAAAATTTTAATTTTTTCTTTTGAAAAACAAAAAAAAAAAAAAACAATTTATTTAAATAAGTTCCAATAATTAGGCGCGTGTCGAAATTAAAAACGTAATTTTTTTGTATCGGAATGAATTGAAGAACTTTATTGATTTTCGATAATGCAGATTCAGACATTCACGGAAAGTTCGAAATTAAATCTTACTTTTACAGGTTTTAAAAACATAATCGAATAATTTTCGAACATGCCATTTTTTGCAGATTTTACACTTATTATATTAAGACCTAAGCTAGAATTGAATTATCGAAAATCCCCCTTTTGATCATCTGTTGGTCAAATAAAATTAAAATACATTTTTTTATTTTTAAATTAATAATAATATTAAGTACAAAATGTAGTGTAAAATAAATATTAAGAAATAGTTTTGATTTAAAATATATTTTTAATATATTTGAATTGTTTTTTATAATTCTGAAATTAAAATTTTTCATTATTTTTGCGCAATATTGTAAAGGATAAATTTTGCAAAAACTAAATTTTTATAGAATAATAAATAATAAATTTTGTTTTGAAATTATATTTTTAAAATTTAAATTGAAATTGTTTGAAAATAAAATTTTCTAATTTAAGTGAATATTGTTGAAATAATTATCAACCAGATTCTGTTCGTGGCATCACGCATCACTTCTGTGTTATGGGTTATTATTCAAAAATTTTCAATTTTTTAGAATAATAGAAATTAATTTCAAAATTTGAAATTCTATACTGAAAATCAACTCAAGTGATTCGATCATCATAATATAGGTGATTATGCTTGTTTAAAATTATAAAATGTTTTCAATGTGGTTTATTGGAATTACATAAATAAATTGATTTTTTGTTTTCATACATGAATCAGTGGGAACCGAAAACATCTTTGACAAAAATTTTTTTATTTTTTAAATGCATATACTCAGAAATATATGCATCTATGTTTGTATGTACTTAATCAATCTTGTTTGTTTGTTTGTGTTTTTTTTAAATTAAATGCCAATATTTCAATACAGGATTTTCATAATTGAAATTATTAATTTCTTTGTTATATTTTTGTTATTATTTCAATTAATTCAATTTTTTTTTTGTTTTTTTTTTCTTTGTTTTTAATATAAAAATACTTAATTTTTTTAAATTAATTTTTACTCTTCGATTTTCATTTTGTAATAATTTTTTTACTTTTATAATTTTTATAATTTAAATTTAATTAAATAATTATTTTAATTTTTTTTTATCTCATTAACAGAAATCTTAGTTTTCTTCTTCAACTCTTTCATATTTGTATAATAAATTGTACGTTTTTTTTATTTTTTAAATAAAAAAAAAAAACTAAGACTCACAACCTGAGCAAATTTTATACATTACAATTGTTTTTCTTAAAATTTCGCATACTTTACATTTGTCCATTAAATTAATATAATTTTTTTTTCATTATTTTTTTTTATACACGATTCTTTTCCAAGATTTTAAAAATGTTTTTTCTTCATTAATTATTTTTATATTTTAAGTTTTTACTTTTTTTTTCTCTCTTAAGTATTATTTAGTACTCAAGTTTTTCTAATTTTTTTTTTATGTAATTAATTTAAATTTAAATTATGTAAAATTAATTTTTAATATTTTTATTTCTTTACATTTGATACTAGCTGCCAACCATTATATGAGCTGGTGATTCTATTTCGTTGTCATGAACATATCTAGCTGCATTCAGTGGTGTTGAAATTGATTTAAATAAATCATCTGATGTTAATTTACAATGATGTGGTACCAGTTCAGTTAATTCAGTACCAATTCCTAAATCCATATCTAAGAAATTATATTCCCATGTTGAATTATTTGTTTGTATTGATGAAGCTGAACAATTATTATTGCTTTCTAAATGATGATGTGTTGTTGTTGTTGTTGTTATTGATGTTGAAGATGATGATGATAATGATGTTAAAGTTGACAATGTTGTTATACTATGATTTGTTAAAATCGAATTATTATTATTATTATTATTAATGGACGTACTATTTGTATTGTTATTGCTAGTACTATTATTATTATTTCTATTATTATTTGTTGTTAAGGTACTATTTGTTGCAACAGTTGTTGTTGTTGTTGTCGATGAATTCAATGATAATTCATTATTATTTTTCATATCAGAATTATTATTATTACTATTATTGCATATTAAATTATTGGATGATGTTACAATTGGTATTGGAGTTGCAGGTGATGGCAATATTGAAAATAAATCATTATTATTTAAGGGATCTAATGCTGACTGTGAGGATAAACTTAATACTGAACTCCAATTAATTGAACGATTACAATCATCATCACTATAACCAGAATCAGATTCTGGTGATACACTAGCTAGATTTTGTTGATTTAATGTTGTCATTATTGTTGTTGAATTATTTATAGGTGTTAAAGATGTTGTTGTTAATGACGATGATGGTGAGGATAATGTTTGTGATAATGTATTTGAAGCCGTTGATAAAGCATTTGATGCATGTACTGTGCTTTTACAATTATTAATACTATTTTTGTTACTATTATTATTAATATTATTGTTACTGTTACAGTTATCATTACTGTTAATATTACTATTTGATACTGGAGAAGCTGCTGGTGACGCTATTGGTATAACATCAGGATTATCACTACTATGCATTCCCATTGGAAATGGAGTTGCTCTACCTAATTGTGCCTCTCTGAATGGGTAATGATCATACGGATGTAATAATTCGTTTGGACAGTGTTGTAAATTATTGCTACCAGTATTGAACAGCACATTGGAAGATGATTTTGCCATCATTGATTGTTGATGGTGCTGTTGATGCTGTTGATGTTGTTGCATAATATTATATTCTTTAATACATTCGTTTTCATTGTTATTTATATTGCTAAAGTGATTTGGTGACGGTTGAAATATTAGACTATTATTGTGATCATGTGGTATCACACATACTTTCGTGCATGAACCAATTGGCGTAAAGTCATTACTGTTATTCATATTTGATAAAGATGTTAATGGTGAATTACCATGATGGTGATGATTGAGAGGATGATGCAAATGTGAATTCATATGCAGTGGATGATTATGATGCATATGATCTTTATTCTCTAATTCAATTTCTTTATCAATATTTTTCAATGTATTGCATATTAGTACTGATCTATACAAGGATTGTTCTGATACTTGTCGAAATTTCGATAGTTTAAACATTGACAGATTTCTAATTTTTAATCTAATATCTCTATAACAATTTTTACTATTGCACCATATTCCTCTACCATCACAGCCACATTTTTTTGAATGCCTTGAATTCAAATTATTATTTAAATTGTTACTATTGTTATTTATTGTAGGATTTATTGGAGTAAATGTTGAACTACCCAATTCTAAATAAGATTTTCCATTTTCAGCACATCTAATTGTTTGTTGAGTATATCCCATAGTACCGGTTCCAATAGTACCATTACTACTTCCAATTGGTATTGAATCAGGTGATTGCATACTATAATAATTATTATTTTGATGAGCATTTAAATGATTCCAACTATTTAAGGTACCAAACCGAAAATGTTGTGATTGTTGCTGATGATGTTGTTGTTGTTGATTAATTGTTCTTGAACAATTCTGCTGAGGGAACGGTTCAGAATAATAATTTGGTTTACCTAAATAAGTATGATTGATATTACTAGCATTATGCGGTGAATAACTATTTGCACCATTTGTAGGACTATTAACACCATTACGTTGCAAAAAATGAGGTGGTGCACATGTATATCTTACGGGGCAATATGTAGGAATGATACTTTCATCTTCTTCATAATCATCATCAAAATCATCATCATCATCATCAATTTCATCGGCACTTAAAAGTGTTGTTGCTAATGTTGAACGAGTTGTTAGACTACCCCATGTATCAGATGGCACTGCAACTGCTTGTAATTTTGAAATACAATCAACTGGTTCAGAATTCCATAAATCATTTGCAGTAGCAGTTACAACCTCTAATTTTGTCAAAGTTTTTGTATTTTCATTTAAATTGTTTTCTTGAATTTGTTGTTGTAGTTGTTGTGACTCTTGCTGTTCTTTTTGTTCTTGATTATTATTATTATCATTGTTGTCAGCATTTTGGTTATTACTATTAATACTATTGTTACTACAATTATTATTTTCATTTTCTTGAGTGTTGTCTTTATCACTAGACCATTTCGTTGTCTTTAGGGGGGGACAACTTGACTGATAATCTGATTCTTTCTCACAATTGAGTGTGAACTCATGTTTTCTTTTCTTAGTCAATGTAGATTGTAAACCCATATTTGTATCGTTCTAAAATTAGACAAAATAAATTAAAATATTAATTTAGTATAAATAATTAAAATTTATCTAAAATTAATTTATAATTAATAAAATCAAACCATTTACATTTTTACTTAAACTATAACATTTCAACGGTACTTATAGTTTAAAAAAGAAATTATATCAGCAACAGCAAAATAAGTTTCTTATTAAGATCACTTGTTTTCATAAAGAGTTTTAGCAAAAAATAAATTTCTCATTCAATATTTTAAGAAAAAAGACAATGAAAAAATCATTTATTTTCCCGCCAACGATTTGATGATTCAATATTCATTTTTATTTCCAAAAATATTGTATGTAGTTAAGTAATGTAGTTTATAAAATATGTATATAATTATGTGTGTATGTATATTGTATTTACCTAAATAACTAAATCTTCTATTCCTCACCAAAGTTTCATTCCCATTACCAGACACCATCACTTTAAGTTTTACATAGTATTTTCTTTTTCAGTTTTTTTTTCTAACGCCCTACAAAAATCGACAAAAATCATCGTACTATTTTGAAATGCGAAAAGGGGGAAATAAGAGAATGGACGATGAAATAACATTTTGAAAAAAGAAAATAAGGCAAACAAAAGCATGAAAAAGAAAAAAAACCTGAAATATTTTTGAAGTCTCTGTCTTTAGAAGAAATAACAATAAAATAAAAAAAAAATATAAAAATTAAAGTACAAAAACGTAAAAAAAAATTTCTTCTTTATTTTTTATAAATGTAAGAGAGCAGGAAAAATTTTCTATAGAAAAAGAAATTTCAAAGGCCCTAGAAAAAAAAGACTACCATACTTTTTCAAATAAATCTAAAGGGGGGTAATAAGCAAATCTAAGGGCTATAACATAAGGCGTGAGTAATAATATAAGACAAGTGATATTTTTCGGTTCCACGTTAGCTTTACAAATTGCATACACTTAGCGTAATATTAAAAATTCGTAAATCATACCGATTGAATCGGGAACTCTGCTAATTTTAAAAAGTACATATATTTTTTTTATGAGCTAAATGCATCATTTCCATGATTGGACCCGAATTAAAAATTAAGTTTCATAATTATTTGACACTAGGAACAAAAGGAATATAAGCAGAAAACTTTGTCCATAAAAATATAATCTTTATGGAAAATAGATCTTCATGTATTACTACGCTCTGTGCACATACGCACAATAATAATTATTTAAATCATATTTTGTAAGACCAAAACGCTCCAATATTTTTCTTTCATTTCTTTGTACATACATACGTGCATAATCTATAGATATGCCCATATGTCATACATTATTCTAGAATTCAAATTATCAAATGAGGGAGATATACTTTAATACTTTTTACTTTTATATAAATTTTCAAAGCTAGTACTCCGATCGTCTCGTATACACATCTATGTAGATATTTAAGCCCAAAAAAAAAAAAAACTCAAAAGGGAAAATTTTCTTTTTTTTTTGTTTCAATTCTAAGAGTTTTTAGATTTTCTTTTTTGTTTACTCTTTGTTTATGCAGTCAGTATATATGTATACTATATGACACACAAACATATGTATATTTCTATATACAGAACATATAAATTTCTATATTCATAAATATGTACATACATACTGCATATTTATATCTTAAAATGTTAAGTATGCAAAAATAAAAAACAAAAAAAAAACATAAATTGAAGAATATAACATTGGTATGTACATATTGTGTTCAATCTCTATAGACATTCTAAAAAATCATAAACAATATAAAAAGGAAAACGAAAAAGTATAATAAGAAATAAAACATAAAACAAAAAAAAGAAGTCGATGTACAAGAATAAGAATGAAGAGAAAATGTTAATAATAAAAAGCACTCCCACAAGGCAATCAGGCAACAACAGTAGCATAGCAAAGCAAAGAAAAATATTGTTCTGTTTTCTGTTATACTATATAATTGTACTCATATCGATATTGTCGTAATCGTCGTATACCATTGTCATGCTAGAAAAGAATTGTTTTTGTTTTATTCCTTCATAATATTTCATATTCAAAAGTATAAAGAATATCTATTGAATCACATATAGAGTGTACCTACATACATATGTACAAACAAAAGACAATATTATAAAATTGTGTACTTAAAAGATATGTAGATCTCCATAAACGCCATAAGTCAAAAATTAAATTGGCACAATTAGAAATCATTTGAAAGAGTTACTAATTTTTTGTACTTAGAATTCTATTTTTGCTAGTTTAGCCCGAAAATAAACTAACTACTATATTGCCTCTATTATAAATACATCTTTTGCACTGAATTTGTACAAAGGCCATGAAGGCCTGTTTTTGTTGCTAACGCAAGTGATTCTCATTTTTTAATTTTTTTACGTTTATTCATGTGTTACAGCATTTACAAAAGTGAATTTTTAAAAATGACAGATTTTAATACAGAAAAGAAAAGTTGGCAAGAAAAAAGAGATGACAACATTACAAAAACCAAATTATCAGCTGGCAAGAGTTGCTTTATTTGCGTATAATTGTTATTTGAAAATGAAAGGTTCACGTGATTTACACGATCGTCACATTCATTATGTCCTGGGAAAGTAACAAAATAAAAATTTTTCGAAACGATTTCGTTCACTTTATGTAATAATTTTGGAATCTTTCATAATATACAAATTTTTTATAGCGCAATAGTATCTAACATTTTAAGACATTTTTTCATGTTAGACATTTCTTAGGTATATTGCATAAAATATACTGTTATACTTCCGAATTGAAGTAAATCTTTTTAAATAATAATAAAAAAAAAATTTTTTCTTAAAAATAATCTAAATATGGGGGTGCAATTTAAAAACTTAAATAGGATACGCATACACGCAAACTCATACACAAAATGCATATTCATACGGCATTTATGGTATGTATTTTTATTTTACACCATGTATAGCCAACTTATCATATAGAATAGAATATTTTTTTCCTTTTGATTTCTCTTGTTTTACTTTTTTCCTTCATATTTTAACAAAGAATTTCGAAATTCAGAACATTTCATATACAATACATGTATATATAGATATACATTATATATCTACTGTCTATTGCTACATAACATATAGTGTATGTTCATATGGTTGTACATTCTAATGTATACTATGTATATGAAGGGTGTATGAGAATATGACAGCATAACATAAAATAAAAAAAAAAAATTAAAAAGAAAAAAAATGCTAATAATATGAAAGAAGAAAAAAGAAAAACAAAAATATAAAAATAAATAAAACAAGTTATTTTATATACATACATACACATATATATGTACATACAGAATTATAATATAGGAGAATTTTATAAAATGTGCTCATACGTATTTATTCATATATGTATATACATACTTACATGCATATTCATATAATGTGTTCATATATTTAGTAATATTCGTATATTATTCAACATAAATATACAAACTTATAAAAAATATGCACATTCATACATTTATAAAACATGCCATATGCATATAAAAAATCTACATATTAAGTTTTTTTTTTTTGTATGTTTATTTGGTTTTAAGGTTTTACTTATAAATAATGTAGGATACATAATAGTTGAGTTGAATGGAAAATTCACAGATACATATGTCAGAGGTTTTTAATAGTAGCATAAATTTGTAAAAATGTCCTATCTCTATGTAAATGTATTTTAATTAGATTTGTAGATTGTAGATTCTAAGGGAACTGAGTGGGGACAGGAGCATCCCCCCAAGCCACCGCAGCCATTTTTGACTTATTGTAGCCACCCCACTCTCCCGTCTATAATATCCCCGTCCCAATCACAAAGCCGGAGATATCCCTAAGGGAGTTGGACAATAGTTCCCGAACACTTAGGGACCCATGTCCAAGACAATTGCGGCGCCGAACAGCCAGTGCCGGACAGTCGCAGAGAATGTGCACGGCGGTCTCATCGCCACCCCCACAAAATCTGCACAGGGGGGAGCCCGACTTCCCCAGCCTGTGCAGGTGGTATTTCACCGGGCAGTGCCCCGTGAAGAAATTCGCAATAGTGCGAACCCGGCTCCTGCTCATCCCCAGCAACTCCGCAGCGAATCCGCCGGAGCACGCCGGAACAAACACCTTCGCATGACGGCACCCTTTCGTGTCCCGCCAGTGACGACTGCATTCCGCCGCGAGTAGGCAGGCAAGCCTGGCCCCCACGGCGGAAGAAGGCAGACCACAGAAAGGCAGCGGCTGCACAAAGGCAGCCCCAGATCCCCTCCGTGCCAACTCATCGGCAACTTCGTTGCCCGCATGGCCACTATGGCCCGGCACCCAAATGAGCATCACTCTGTTTTCCGATGCCAATTCCATAAGTGCAGCAAGGCAGCTCCAGACCAGCTTGGATGTAACCTGAGCTGAACGGAGCGCCAGCAGTGCAGCCCTGCTGTCTGAGAACACATAGATGGTGCGGTTTCTATACCCCCTTTCCAAATTGATTCTCAGACAGATCTCTATTGCATGTATTTCGGCCTGGAACACCGTGCAATACGGGTCAAGGGTTGCATATACACGCGTGTCCGGGCGGACACCGTATACGCCCGAGCCCACACCCGACTCCGTTTTGGATCCGTCCGCATACCACACGCTCGAACCCGACCTAAGTACCGGACCACCCCGATCCCACGTCCATCGATCAGGAAACAGAACCCTGTACTTGTGGTCGAAGTTGTACCGCGGCAGACAGGTATCTGACATGGTTATCCTTAGAATCGGATCGCCCTCAATGAAGTCTCTGTGAGTTCTGTGGGCCAACTTTAGCCCTGCCCCGTCCTCGCCAGAGAGAAGTCGGTAAGTCACCAGCCGAGCTTCCTTCAATATATGGAGGTGCAGTGGCGGCAATCCGATCATCACCTCCAATGCAGCGGTGGGAGCCGTCCGCATCGCCCCGGTCACTCCCAGGCAGGCCAGCCTCTGTAGCTTTTCTAGCTTGGCCCGCACACCCGCCTGCTGAGCTTTACGGCAC